GCTCTTATGATATATTCACAAAATTTGGTTATGGGCATCCTCGCTCGTACGTTTACGGCTATCCACTCAAAATTGGATTGTTATACGATATAAATATTTAAGTGTCGCAACGTATTTTTGCCATTGCAATTAGTGAACATAAATAGTTTACATCAATCTGTTTTATTTTAATAATAAACTTCACTTTCTGTTAATCCTACTTTTCATCCTTTTAATATGCATTTGTTCTGAATCGTAAAGTTCAACGTAGCTATTTTGGGCAATTTACGCAAACCGTCTGAAGGCAGTTAAAAATTTATACAGGTAGGCGCAACGAAAACGAAACAGACCGAAGAAATCGTAAGGAAACAGTTTTTGGGAAAAACACAAAAACATGTCAATTTTGGTTGGAAGGGGGACATTTAGCTTTTACTTAAAAATATAGACCTCTTGTGTTGACCCTCTAAGCAGGGTTGCCACGCCGTCAATAATTTTAAATTGCACGTTGGGTCGAGTGGCACATCATTCGAAATGGCTCATAATTTCCTGTGGTCTATTTTTCAAATTTGAGCGAATCGTTTGAGCGATACAGGGTGTCAAATGATAAATAATTCAAATGGACATTCAAGCTTTTACGTGAATAAACACGTTCATGAGAAATATTAGCTGCACAAAACAATCACAACAATGTGTCACTCGACCCAACGTTCAGTTAAAAATTACGGAGAAGGTGGTAACCCTGCTTAGGGGGTTGACAACAGGAGTGTACATTTTAAAGTAAAAGAGGTCCCCCTTCCAATTAAAATCGTCGTGTTTTTGCGTTTTTTCCCAAAAACTATTTACTTGCGGGTCCTGTTTCGTTTTCATTGTACCACCCTGTATATGAGTTCAATGGAAAACGGCAATAGAAACAAAATGTTCCTTTATTGAGGGTAATTTTGACATCTTTAAACTGCAATAAGCATATTAAACGCGGTCAAAGTTATTGAGTGTCGTTAATGGGTTCTATCAAGGATACTTTTGGACAAAACTATAAACGAAAACGCCTTATACTTTAGCAAGTTAGAAAGTACAAGACAGCTTATTGATACGAAGTGGGAAAAATATGTGAAGGAAATCAATACAGCTATTAATACGGACAATATTGGGGTCCGAAAGGTAAGTGATGTGACTGAAGATATATGGGGCCAAATATCATGCAAGTCATGTGTTTATTCGAACTCTTTAACGACGAAGGGACGAATTACGTTTAATTTTGTTTATCCGCGCCCAAAGTTCATTTAAAAATTTGGTAAATGAGCATTTTGAGTAGTTTGATCATGACATTGTTTGCTTGAAATCAAGAATTTAAAGTTAGAATTGAATTATTTTGTTGTGCCGGGGTGTTAGTGGTGGCAGCACTGGCACCCGCCCATATAATGGTGATGGCTAGATCCAAAGGATGGGACCGGAAGAAGGTGATGGAAGGTGGGGGCCACACAAATCATTCTTAAAGACACTAACCAAAAACGCAAAATTATAGACAGGAGAGTAAGAACGAGAGCTAGTAGAATAAGGGGAAAAGACAATGAAGACTGCAAGGATTGTGGAATGAGGAATCATCGCATGTATGTGCTCTAGTGAGGAGAATTGGGACAAAATAGCCCCTATCTCCCTAAGTTTTTCTATTAAATATGATACTTAATTTAGTGCCTCTGGAGGTAAGGTGGAGTGATCATTGAAGAAATATAATTAGAGGATACCCGGTTAGATAAAATAAAGTCACAAAAGAAGCTGTAAATACGCAATGCGTACATCGTACTTATTGAACGATCAAAGAAACGTATTCAAAGAGATTTTTAGATTATGTAATATCTCCGAGCTCTTTGTAAATAAACAAGATTAAAGGTACTAAAGTAAAAATTCCACAAGGTAAAAAAAGTGACCGTTAACTTTTATGCGTATTTGTTGTTGTTAAAGTCTAGGGCGAATGTGAAGCAGATCGTTAAAAGAGAGTAAAAATGTTTTTTTTTGTAACTAACAACACAATTAATTCAGGTAAAATATAACGTCATTGCGAGTTGGGGTTATAGCGCAAAATTACAATAATTAGAGCAGATTTTTGGTCAGCTAATTCTCAGGAATAGGCCCTGTACAAAGCCCGGCTCAGCAAACAAAAACCATTTGAGAGAGAGGGAGGAACGAATAGGCGCCAAAAAAAAGTGGAGATGGTGACAAAGACAGAATTAAAAGGTTACAATATGTCATGGGAGCTGTTATGTTTTCGTTATTTATTAGGTGTTAATTTTATTGCATTTGAGTTAGTTATCTCATTGTTTATTTTTCCTTCTGTTTGTAATTCCGTACTATGTTCTTGTTTAAATGAAGTTTCCTAAAGCTGTGAGTGAGTGTTTTTGTGTCTTTGATAAGTGCGCCTGAATATTCCAAACCTTTCGCGACCGATTATTTGGATTCTTTAAAAAAAACTGTAAGTAATTTAAGATTTTTTTAAATTATCAACCGCCTGAGTGCAGGGTAATATATGTCCAAACTGGCTTTGTAAGCCTTTCTTTTCTACAGGGATTTTCTTTTAATTAATTCATTCGGAAAAAATGTCATTATTATATTTATTCGAATTCCTTGTGCGACCCAGATATAGTCTTCATATATTTTTCTATTCGTGCCCAAGATTTATTTCAGGCGCGAAACAAAATTCGTGTAATAAATTCTTTGGAAGTTCCTCGAGTCTGTCAAATTGAGAAGTTTCAAGCCAGCCAGTATCAGGATTTCTCTTTATATCAAATACCGGATGTGTACGAGGAGAGATTATAAAATTCTAAGAGTCAATTTTGTTTTGTTTTGAGCTAGCATGGGTAGATGGGTGGTGTAGTGACCGCCCGCAATTGCACACAGCAGTATACACGGTGATTCAAAATTAAGTGCACAGATTTTAAGGGCGTATTTACCACCCAAAAATAAGAAATTTTTTTCATATAATCGCATGTATGTAAAAGTTTTTTAAAAAGTCGGTTTTTATTTATTTTATTCCCACCAAAGGAAGGCCCTTAGGATCACAAAATAAGCCTAGCAAATTTTATTGAAATGGGCTGAAAGGTTTTTGAATAATTGATAAAAAACCGATTTTTATAAAAAATTGTTACAGCCTGTATCTAGAAAACGAAGCAACATACGATTATATAAAAAAAATTTCTTATTTTTGGCTGGTAAATACGCCCTTAAAATCTTTGTACTCAATTTTGAATCACCCTGTATAGACAATGACTTGACAAACAAGCAATGAATACACAAAAATAGCAGAGGAAGTTGCGGAGAGAAAAAGTAGAAAAGAGAGGAGGGTAAAAGTGGGTTACAAAAAAATCACAATCAACAACCAAACATACACATGGGAAAATATTAGGGCGAACAATAAGGAAAATAATGAGAAACATGTACAAACAAGTTGGCAAGCCAGTACTTCCTACGTAAGAACTTATCATTTGCGCATGATTAGAAGTCAAAAGTATAGAAGAATCTGAACTGAGCGAAACAAGAGCTAAGATAGAGAGGCATGAAACTAAATATCAATCCAGACTAAGAGGAATAGATATACAGTTAAAGCAAACATGAGTAGAACATATAGGAAAATTTAAATATCCAGGAATAAGGGGGATAGGTATATGAAAGAAGAAAATAACAAACTATATTACAGAATGTAAATAAGTTGTACTACAGACAATGTTTATATATAATAAATAATGAGAAACAGAAGACTAGTAAAACAAGTGTGGAACGCAAAGTAAAAAGCGCAAAATGAAGAGGAAAACTCAGAAAAACATTAACAACGAAATCAGACGAACATTGCAAAAGAAAGGTGTACTATAGGCAGAAGCAAGTGTAAACGTAAAACAAAACAAACAAAAATAAGAAGTTCGTTTACACAGAATTGTAAATACGCAACACATAATTAAACGCTGTAATTGATTAACATCGTAGCCTATTAATAGGCACCTTAATGTTTGAAACGGAAAGGGATCATTGTTACTTATTCACTTTTATTTACCAACACAAATCCTGAAAGATTCTTCAAAACGTTATTGGCGTTAAAGCTGACAATTAAGGTTTCCTTTGAAATACAGATTCTCGCACGTATTCAATGACATTTGTATAGATTTGTATTCACGGAAACGTAGACATTTCACACATGCACACTTGTTAGGATATAGCTACGAGACGGAGACGCTTGTTAGAAAACTCATTTGTCAACAGTACATTTTTTCTCCCTAGAGACAAAACCCTATACCAGAAAAACAAAATACCCGCCGAATCTGCATAATCCACCCTATGACATGAACACGTGATTTTCGACACCCCTGTTAACGTATAATGAATACACGTTTGACGAAACTCAATTTCACTTGGGAGAGGTTTGTCACAAATAACGAACGAATGCGCTTTTATCGGCGCTTTAAATTCGACATGAAAATTACAGAGAGAACGAGCGTATGAAGTACGTTAAGGATCCAATTTTCCATTGTATTGTAAGTCATAATACGAATCCACCAAGCCGCAGTGGGTGTCCACTGCGAAATCTACTCAACTCTATGATTATTTTATGACGCGTCTCCTTCCACGGGTATTACGCTCGATGCATTTGATCATTTTATTTTCATCCATCGAATTTTCCGATGTGACCGGAAAACCTAAGCGAAAGTTTGCAGCCATAAAAACTGTGTGCTTATATAGCACGCCATTGTAAATCACAGTTTCACATTCGTAGGTCCGTAATTAATAAATTATTCATGTAGTAGGTTTAATGTGTAAAAAGTTTATATTAGTGAACTTTGCCGAATTTATGGTGGGACGTAAAATTATGTGGGCACCGAAATTTTTTTTTGATAGTATATAAATTCTTTTCAAAAAGCTATATGTATTTTATGGCTTTATTATTATGTTTGATTTTATGGCCATCATTACTAATTTTGTGTATATGGGCCATCAAATCGTCCGAATGAATGATAATTTTAATGGCGGAAATTATTAGGCACTTTGAAAACTGTTGAATCGCAATTTATTACTTGGGCACAATATTTTTATTTTATTCACTTCATTTTCCCCACATAATAACCAGGAAAATGCTCCCTCAGCAAAATTTGATACTATTGTACTATTTGTTTAGTGCATTTTTTCAACCTTTAAAATGAAAAAGGTGCAAATCAAACGCGAAAGACTTAAATGGTAAAGTATAAATTGTGTATATGCCTCTACTTCATGTGAAGGATGAAGACGAATACTTCAGTATCAGGTGAGACAAAATATCCACATAGTAGGTTACTATGTCAAAGTCATTCTTTAATTATTTTTTTTCATTTTGACTTCTCGTACTTTTAATTTCGGTAGACGATGCATCCCCACGCAACGAAACCCCCCGAAAAATTTCGGAATATCTTCAAGTCCAGCCGCAGATGAAGATATTTTGTCTCGACAAAAAATTAAAGGTAGGTATTTCCATTGTCAAAAAAATTAATTTCATGATCGTACAATTTGTTATAGTTGGTAAGAAGATAAACAAAACGTTAATATTTAAAAAAAACGACATAACCAGACAAACTCACCTGGAAATTGCAAACCAGAAGGATTTCACTCACCTAAAGAGGTAAAGAGGAAACAGGAAGCACAAGTGCAAACAGCTCCAGACGGACATGCAGAGACCTCGCGAAGAGTTTTATGTTTCTTATGGACAAGGAACCTTATCGAAAGAATTTCGTACCAAAAAAAGTTCTTTGTGTGGACGGCGATCCGCAATTGTGAAGAGAATAGCTAATGAATGTTTCCAAAATAAATGGTTGGCTTTTCTGAGACAACAATACGATTTACTTTCTTTTGGTCACGTTTAACCTCGGGTTTAGCCTTTTAGCATTCAGCCACTAATCACCCAATTGCTTATAACTCTGACCTATATCAAACGCCAGTCAAAAGGGCCTTGGAGTTATCAAACCAAGGAGCAAAAACAATTGAAAATGTCAGAAAAAAAAACACGTAGGTTCATTTAGGTAGTTAAGGGGACATTTACTGAGATCCTAATTTTTCCAGGAAGAAAATAGCGTATATGCCACAGAACTAAAGTGCGTCATAATCAGTCGGGTGCTTGCCCTCAACTACGTTTAGGGCAACAATCAGTACCCTCAAATACTTTCACAAATATTTAGTATTCGAATACTTCGCATAGTATCTGAATACTTAAACTTCCTTTTTTTACCAAAAATCGACAACACCAAAATATCTCGGGAAAACACTTTTTCTTATTAATTTTGGTGCGTAGAATCCAAAACAATTCGTACTTTTTCGATTAGACTTCTCAATCTAAAGTTATGGACTAGAAACCAATTTCGAAAAAAAATTCAAAGGGCTGTAAGTTTTGAACTAGTAGCCCAATCTTGGAACTGTTTGAAATTATGGATTCTACAGGCCACATTCTATAAGAAAGTGATTTTTCCCTGTCGATCTCAGACAATGTTTTTTTCCGGCCTCAAAAAAGGGCAGTACTTTTAAGTAAATAAATATTTGAGAACAATTTAGAAATGTTTAGGGAAAGTTTCCATTGTCACAAAATCAAATATAAAAATCCGATACAACTGAATACCGAACGATCCTGGAGTGAAACTTTTTGACTGGATAGTCTACGTAACTTAAAAACAATAGCGACCTTTATTATATCCTTAAGACCATGTGTATCAATTTTCAAAGCGATCGCACGTTTCTAAACAAACTATCATGCACACGGACAAACGGATGGTCAAAAATGGATCTGTTCCAAAATCGCTAGGATTAATTTCAGAAAGGCGTACGTATCATGTGCACGATCGCTTTGAAAACTGGTACACGTATTCTTAAGGATATAACTGGTATAAGAAAGGTCCTGGTAGGTACCTCCTATATAATAATATAATAATAATACGCTTTTACTCCCCTTCAATTTGTATATAATAATAGAAATATAAAAAAGCTAACCCCATACAAAGTATAACTTGATTTTTTAAGTAGTATTAAGACTTTTATCCAGTATACTATTTTAAATTTTTAATGTATTTGACGTAAAAGTATTTAGTATTCAAATACCTTGGATATGTGTAAAGTATTTACTATTTAGTATTCAAATACTTTTTGAAAGTATTCTGGCCAGCTCTGATACCAATGTATTCACATAGGTATCTTTGCGCTTTGCAAGAAACTTAATTTATTTTTGAAGTTCACTGGAATTGTTTGGTATTCAATGGAATTATTTTGCAGTTTTTCAACTCCAACGGAATTTCTTTTAATTGGTGCACACATTTTTGCCCCTCGAATTAACCTCGATATTTTTTGTGAACTGTATAAATATAATTGCGTGCTATGCTTTTGTATAAGAGGGATGTTGAAAGTTTAACGTGTTGATTAAAAATACAAATAAAGTAAACTGATACTAATTTTGATTTGGTGAATCGATACGGCACGTGTAGGTATTGTAAAATAGGAAGAATTACGAAATTACGTCAAGTATAGCGCCCACCTGACCCTGGTTATCCCATATTCCTAATCTGCATTGTATGAAGCAAGCATGGTTAGATGTTGTAGATCGCTTAGGGGTAAAACGGTGCTGGTGCACTGATGGTAGAGGTTTAAATTGGAAAGCAAGTTTATCGTATAGAATGATTTCAAAAATTTTTGAAAAATCGCACAGAATTGATATCGGCCCATAATTTGCTACTTTAATTATTGCACTCGTTTTAAATATAGGACAAACCTTTGCCGTTTTCCAAACAGATGGAAACATACATTGCTTAAGCGACAGATTATACAGGGTGATGACTTGCGTTACGCATCATATAGGGATTTCAATGTAAAATTCATAACATGCGGTTATTGGCTCCCCAAATTATTTTAGAGCAAACATGTATTAAGATTTTTTGTAGGAAAACATTTTTTACGTCAATCAACCGTATTAGTTTTCAATTTTTTTACATAATAAAGACGGAAAATTGGAAAAATAAAACCCGCATCTTTTCAATAATCTGGGATGCCATGGAATTTTATAATACAAAAACTACGCCAATATCCGTCATGCCATGGAATGTCTGCTATAAAACAAATCAAATTCTATCAAAAAGTATTACATTTAGAACAGCGAATTCAACATAAAGAAAGACCAAATTACAAAAACGGTTTCCTAATATAACAATTTACAATAAATGTTCGAATAAGTCACCATTAACTGCAATACAGTAACCAAGTCGATCATAAAATCCATTTCGAACTGCTGCTAATTGATAACTGGATATCTTTTTGTTTTAGAAAATTCCATGGCATCCCAGATTATTGAAAAAGATGGGGGTTTTATTTTTCCAATTTTCCGTCTTTATATGACAATTCAACTCATGTATAAAAAATCGCATAAGCCGCAGTGCAATTGTCACTTTGACAGCGGCAAAAGCAGACCTGTAAAAGATACTCGCAAAAAGTATCTAGTTACATTATAGTTACTTCTAACAAAAAGTAACTATTTACTATGCGTAAATTGTTACTTCACATAAAAAGTATCTTAAGTCCCAGATACTTGACATCGGTATCTAGATACTGTAACTAAATGATATGAATGTATCTTAGGTACCTGAAAGTATCTAAGATACTTTGAAGTATTTAAGATACTTTACAGTACCTGTGTAAGTCTAGAGTAAGGTTCGGCATTTTTTTGATATTTATTTTGATATCACTTAAGAAATTTGTTTATTACCTCAAAATCAAGCGAAATTAAGTGAATGTATAGGTATGGATACCCTTTACTATAGAAAACATTGACATAATACTTTCAAATAACATTTAATGACCTAACCAAAATTTCTACATTTGGATCATACATAGTGGTACATGTTTTTGTAATATTCAGATAGATTATTTAAAACACCTTTACATGAAAAGAAATTAACCAACAGTTCAATAAGCTAAATACAATAAATCCGCATAGATAGATGTATAGTGTAAGGAGGATATTAATTTTGTACTTCTATTACATGTAGGTATGTAACGGGCGATCAAAAATGAGTTGCTGTCGAGTCGCCTTTGGAAGTTCAAGTTAAATACGATTTCCCATGTAAACAAAAGTTCCAAAGGTGACTCGACAGCAACTCATTTTTGATCGCACAGTACATACCTAAGTCACATTTATCTTAAACGTTTTTATTGGACCGTAAAAAAATTAAACGTTCAAAATGTTCGTCACTTTCGTATCTAAGATACTCTGAAAGTATCTTAGTTACTTTTCGTGGTATCTAGATACTTTAGAAGAGTAACATGTACAAGATACTTTACAAAAGTATCTAAAACATAGTTACTTTTTGGCTATGCAACAGATTTTCATTACCTAAACAACCCAAATTTACTCGGTAAAATACATACCTCTTGTGCAATTAAAAGTGAAAAAAAATTGAAAACTAATACGGTTGATTGGCGTAAAAAATTTATTTATTTATAAGATTGCTGCAGTCCTAAATTAGGAAGGATACTTGATGGGTTCTGGCAGTTGCTTTATTGTTTAGTTAGCTTGTTTGTATAAGTTTACTTACTTTACATCCCACAACGTAGGTTTCTGTTTCACCTCCCACTTTTCGAAAGCTCAAAAAATCAATTGTACACGTAGTAAAATTTCTCGCGAAGATTTGCAAAGGTCACGTGAGCAATTCGAAACGTTTTTTTGTTACTCACGAACTATGCCGAGCCCGTATTTAACTAATTTCGCGGTTATTTTAAAACGAAAACGGTCGATAAGTCTCAGAAATACTCACAAAATTCAGTAGTTTTAGATTATGAGAATGAAATTTCTGTCGATGAAAATAACCGAGTTAACAATGTTAGCGATCATTTTCGGTGTCTTTTGATATGCTAATCAGCAGAATTGCGACCTTAACTCAGTTAGGTATTTTTTCATCGCCAGGTTCTGAAGGTTTCTATGGAGGCACTGAATAGATTACCTGGACTAGTTAGGGATTTTTAATTATTCAATTCTTGAAGAGAGAAATAACTCCCGTTTTTCGCATATAATGCTGGCTGCCCAAAGCCATCTATTGACATGTTTTTTTATACATTTTTTGTACATATAGGCTATAAAAATAATATATATAATAAAAAATTCCCTGTACAATATTACTGATTTTGATTAAAGGGGCCAGAATGCGTACAACACCAAACGAACATTTTTGAGAGAATTGCGTGAAGGCGTTTTATATGAGGGGTGAAATTCATAAATCTAAAAAATAAAGTCTATTGACCGGGTGTATTAATAATTTACATGGGAATGTGACATCACAAATCCTTACAAGAAATTTTTAAAGAGTTATAGTAGTTGCTAATATATTTGCCAGTTTTCCCATGTTTCGCAGTTTCAAAAATACCATGACCTCTATATCAATAATTTTGTAATGTAATACAGTCCATAAATATTATGACTATTGCGGAATATTAATTAATGTTAATGTTAATGTTACAACTTGGAATTTTTGTAGTGTGCTCAACATCTCGGCTAACGTCTGTCAAAAAACGATTCGACTACTAACATTGCCATTACCATCTTAACATTATCATGATTGTGACAGGGTGGTTATTGATTTACGTAATAAATACGTCTGCCTCGATCCGATCGGAAATTTGCGTTACATCCAAAATTTTTGTCCCCGTACTCGAGATGCATCTGTGTAGATGTTTCACGACGCCAAACTTAATTCCCCATGACTAAGAATATATGCTCAACTATTGAATTGGCGCAATAAATGGAGCTTGAAGTACAATTACGAAACTACAAGACTATCTCAGGATCAACATAATTGGAATAATCTAATTAACGAAATTAGTGGCGTGTAGCTTAATTCAAATGCAATGGTGTAAATGAGCTACTAAAATCAATGAAGCAAATTCATATTCAACACTCGCTGCCAAGTCTCATGGGTTATTCAATCATAGCCAATTAACTTTACGTTCGAATTTGCAATTATAAATAGTTTTAAGTGCATCTTCCCACCCTTATTACTACTTGTATTGCAGGAACATAAATTCGAAAGTACGTTCGGAAACTTTGAATACATTTAATGCGCGAACGGTGTACGAATTTAATGTATCTCAACACTAACGTAGATTAAATCGTAAATTTGGGATTAATAAT